CTGTATCGTAGCACACGGCAGAGGATTTTTATACCGCATTTTTATGGATTATTTTTGGCGAGTTGGATCTGGTGCAAGAGGAGATAAAAACCAGCTCTTCAAGGGTTGATTGATGAGGGGAGAACGGTTTGGAGAGAGGGGAGAGGAGGATGGGGAAGAGCTGGAGCTGCTGCCCTCCCAGGAGCCTTCATCCCATCCCAGGAGCCTTCATCCCATCCCAGGAGCCTTCATCCCATCCCTCTGAGGGATCCATCCCAGGAGCCTTCATCCCATCCTTCCAGGAGCCTTCATCCCATCCCAGGAGCCTTCATCCCATCCCAACCCTCCCAGGAGCCTTCATCCCATCCCAGGAGCCTTCATCCCATCCCTCTGAGGGATCCATCCCATCCCTCCCAGGAGCCTTCATCCCATCCCTCTGAGGGATCCATCCCATCCCAGAGCCTTCATCCCATCCCATCCCAGGAGCCTTCATCCCTCCCATCCCATCCCAGGAGCCTTCATCCCTCCCATCCCTCCCAGGAGCCTTCATCCCTCCCATCCCATCCCATCCCAGGAGCCTTCATCCCATCCCTCTGTGGGATCCATCCCATCCCATCCCAGGAGCCTTCATCCCATCCTTCCAGGAGCCTTCATCCCATCCCAGGAGCCTTCATCCCATCCCATCCCAGGAGCCTTCATCCCGTCCTTCCCAGGAGCCTTCATCCCATCCCTCTGTGGGATCCATCCCATCCCTGAGGAATCCATCCCAACCCATCCCATCCCAGGAGGCTTCATCCCATCCCAGGAGCCTTCATCCCATCCCAGGAGCCTTCATCCCGTCCCATCCCATCCCTCCCAGGAGCCTTCATCCCATCCTTCTCCTCTGTGGGATCCATCCCATCCCTCCGAGGGATCCATCCTATCCCTAAGGAATCCATCCCAACCCATCCCATCCCTCCCAGGAGCCTTCATTCCATCCCTCTCCTCCAAGGGACCCATCCCATCCCATCCCATCCCATCCCTCGGAAGGTTCCATCCCTTCCCATCCCATCCCTCCCCTCTGAGGGATCCAACCCATCCCTCTGAAGGATCCAACCCATCCCATCCCATCCCTCTGAAGGATCCAACCCATCCCATCCCATCCCTCTGAAGGATCCATCCCATCCCATCCCATCCCTCTGAAGGATCCAGCCCTTCCCAACCCATCCCTCTGAAGGATCCAGCCCATCCCTTCCCAACCCATCCCATCCCATCCCAGCCCTCTGAGGGATCCATCCCATCCCTTCCCATCCCATCCCTCCGGCTGCTCCCAGCGGAGCTGGGGAGGAGGAGGAGGAGGAGGAGGAGGAGGAGTTGGGATCTCGGGGCAATCCCGCTGTTCCCGCTGTTCCGTGGCCGTGGGAGCTCCTGAGCTGCCTCAGGGAATTCCCAGCCTGGGGTGGGATCCGCGTGGGGCAGGGGTGATCCAACAAGGAAAAGTTCCCTGGAGCCGTTTTTGGGAAAGGCGTTCTGGGGCGCTCCGGCTCC